GTGAGCACTTCTCTGCACTCCTGGTTCTCTTGCTGCTTTGGCTGCATAGCTGTCGAAGACTTGCAGAATGCCTCTGGACCAGCGTGTTTTCCAATGGTGTCATTCATATCGTGCAGTATTGCTTTGGACTTGTTTACTACATTGCCGTTGGCTCAACTGTGCTATGTCAGGTGCCTACTAACGTCAGGAATGGTAAGTGCCTGATTAGTTATTACCAAAGATGCAGTTTTTCTCCCATTTGTTTCCATCGTGGCAAATGGTTTCGTAGAAGGCTGCTTGTGTGAGAAGTGTGTTAACTGATGAGACGTAAAAATACTTACTGGCATCGTTCATTATACACAAACACAGACACCGACACACGCTTTCATGTTAACCACCACCGTTACTTCCTGAAAGACATCCCACATAGATACTTTCAGGATCATTACCGGTCAGTTTTACATTGAGATACATATGCTTTGTGAAGGACAGTAATAGGTACCAGTTCTCAAATGCCATTACGCAACTTCAGCTCTCAAACTGGAGTTTGGATTTTTGTTGTAAGCTTTCCTGTAAGGTGAGTCTGCAAGGCTGTCTTGGCCACCTCCTTTGTTTTCCATTGAGAACTTGCCACTGCTCTGCCTTGCATCAGTCGGTCTCTTCTTTCCCTCGGTACTGTAATGTCTCTGATGTCATGTCATGTCTCCCATGTAATGTCAAAAATTTGAATTATTTGGCTTGTTTCTGCCAACACATTCCACTGAGTCTCACAACTGAGTTGCTGTTCCCCTGCACAGGTGAACCATGAGCTGGTTGTAGCACTTCTCCCATGACTAATTTTTGTAAGGTGGTCATTACCAAGTATGTAACTTTAGGGAAGTTTTTAACTACTTCCAACCACACCAGCTCTAGTTTAATCCAGTGAGTTTTTAAAAGAACCTTCAGATCTCCTATGTGTAGATAAAAGCCTTTTTCTTTCTGGATTTGTCTTCTGCTTTTCACATCTTGTAGGTTCTTAGAGATGATGTATTGGCTTGTACATTGGAAATCATCCCTAATACAGTTAATATTTTTTGAAGGTCTAAATGGTTCACACTGTGTGTGTGGGTGTGTGGATGTGTGTGGTGTGTGTGGTCTCTGTGTGTGTGTGTGTAGGTCTATGTGTCTGTCTCACTCACTGTGAACAAGACAAACAACTGTGTACTTATATATTGGCCTGAGACATGACAACATCTTTAATTAGGATGATAAGAATTACAAACAGCATTGAATATTGAAGTCTTAGACTATCAGTTATGTGTCGGTTGTACATCATGCCGTACCTCAAGCTACGGGTTTAGAAACTAGATATTTTTAGTACAGAGCACTTAAGGGTGATGAACTACCAGCTGAGCACTTAAATGATGCAGCATTTAAAAGCATCTTCCAAGGGATTAGAGGCTCAGTACTATAATTTTGTAAGATAGTAACATTTAAAAAATGTATACAATGTTTTGGGATGATGCTGGGGAAGCTATTTCCTGGCCGTATTTTAATGAAACATATTTCATTCAGGCGAAGAGCTTTCTGTGCAGGTCTGCTGGTATCACATTGTAGGAGTTACGATATACATTTGGGCCTGCCTTCACCAACACAGATGTCTTGTGATTCTAGCTAATCTTAGAAAAAGTAAATCAGGTAAGATGTTTCATTTCTGCCAACCATTTACTTAGGTAATTTTTTCCTGCTTGTTTCAAAAGGCTTCTGTAGCTTCTAATACCTTAAAACACGAGTATTTTTCAGTTTGTGTAGCATGGTGCTCTCTATAAGACTTTCAGTAGATTAAATGAGGCTGTTTGGAAAAGAGACCGGATGACTGAATAGGGGGGGATCTGTGTCTGTGTCTGTATATATAGTTTCATAGAAATTAAAATGCAGGTCTAGCTTCTAGTATCCTAAGGACAGACACATGCTAATGCTTAGGACTTGTGCCACTCCTCGGGGACCTCACTTTTGTCTCCATGTGGGCTAAAAATAGATTTCCTTACCCTGTATTTGCGCAAACAGCCAGAGGTGGCATTTTATTTCATTAAGAAGTGCAAAGCTGCCAGATCAGATGAAGGTGGATGATGATGATAACTTTAATGAGCACGTTCTGTAATTGTGAGTAGAAAAGAAAAGTTTGTTTAATGCATGTTGTTCTCAACTCATTTCTTTCTGTTTGCTTGCAGGGAAGGTCGTAAGTCTGAGCCACAGTGTACCTTTCGGAGACTGGTTTGAGAGAGTTTCTTGCCCTCATTATTTTGCAGAGCTCCTCATATATGTGTCTATGGCCATCACACTTGGATTTCACAATGTGACGTGGTGGTGTGTAGTGATGTATGTTCTTTTTAACCAGGCACTGGCTGCTGTTTTGTGTCACGAGTTCTATCAGAAAAACTTTAGCTCCTACCCAAAGCATCGAAAAGCATTTATACCATTTGTTTTTTAGAATATTTCTTCTAAAGTACCTTTAGTGCAAACTGGGAAATGTTTTCTGAGAGGGAATAAGAGATTTATGGTTTATTAAAGCCAAGGTAAAATCGCACATTTTCTCTAATTCTAGCTTAAAAGCTCGTAATTTTAATGATAATCTCATCCGTGTTACCAATTTATGTGGGGAAACGTAAGGTCTCTGCATATCATACAAGCTAAAAAAAGGTTTACTGAAGACCTTAATTCAAACTGAAGAGATGCTAATTGGCTCTTTTCTGTTTTATAATTACATCCTACGCATAAAATACTTGCTGTTGTGCAGCAAGCCCAAATACATATATGTGAAAACTGCATAGTGAAAGGAGGGTAGAGGGAATCATTTGAACTACTGTATTTCATGCCTTGTCTAATATTTAAGCATATTTTTTTCCTAGTCTCTTTTCTTTGAATCGCTTCAGAGGGAGGCAAATTGTGCATTGTCTTCCTGTGCTTCCCTGTTGATAATTAAAACCAGCCACTGCTTTATAACTGCAAGCACAAAAGCCGGTGGAGAAAGCTGCGGTGGAGGAATGACTCATACTCAGCAGTGGAGATAAACAGACCCATTCTCTGCATTCCCTCTTCTGCACCAAAGTGTTTTCATTCATTGATGAAAACTCCTTGTTTATCCCTAAACTGGGAAAATCATGGAAGGTTCTCTGTCTGGAGAGACAGTAGAAGAGAATTTGCAGATAATCAGTGTTCTTGGTTACGGCTCTGTTGTCCTTACAGCGGGTTATTGGAGTCCCTCCTGTGTTAGAGGGGGCGGTTATGCAGGATGACCGTAACCACGACTACCCTGGTTTTTAAACAGCCTGTCAGAGCAGATGAAGTGAGCTGCCGAGGCAGAGAACACACAGAAACCAGTACCTGACAAGTGGTGCGAAGAAATTCTTTACTGGGGAGATGGTGTCACTCAGCACAGGGGTTTCTTGCACTTAACCATCAAATATTTTGCACCTTTTCATGATACTGGAGTGAATGATCAGTTTGCATGAGCTAGCATATGGATGCTGGTGTTTGTGTGTTTCCTACTTACATGTGTATATTATTTTGTGTATGAGAAAAATTTTTATATATTGAAGTATATCTTATGAATTATCTAATTAAAACAGTTTATTACACCTTCTATTTCCATTTCACATAATTTTTCAAAACTGAGTTATGTATTTGCAAAACATGAGCAATTACTTTGCACAAAATGCTGTGCCTCTCTCAGCTCTCGCAACCCTCTCTCCATCGACACTTCCATAGCTCCAGTTCACCGTGGAACATCAACAGCCCTCTCTTGGGACCGCATCTTTCCATTTCATTTTTTTTGGTAGTGGCTCTGGGGAGGGCTCCTTGAGCCTGCCCTCCAAGCATCTCCCCTTTTACGGCCGTTTTTGGGCCTGTTCGCTGGGCTGTTCATTGCACGTTCCTGCCCTTGGCTTAACGGGGAGAGCATCGGGGCGCATACCCAAAGCGCTGCTTTGTACTTGGGCTTTTAAAAACCTGGATGTGCCTGGGCCATTTCTATGCAATTTTTTTTTTTTTTTTTTTTTTGCCTTAATTTTTTTTTTTTTTTTTTTTTTTTTTTTTT